TTGTCGACAGCAACGGGTGCTGCACGCTCCATCCGTCATACGATCGAGGGGATATGTACCTGTATAAAACCGTATTATATCGTATGTACCTCGATTCATAGCCATAATTGTCGATACGGCAAGTGTGATATAAGAGAGTGTGTGAAAACATTTGACTGAATTTCTGGAATTGCCCCCATGCGAAACGGAAGCGTAGCTTTTATTCTTGTTTTATTATTTCTTTGCTTTTCGGTCGAGTCAGTAAGTCTCGTTCGAGTTTTGAATTTTGAGACCTTCGACGGCTGAGTGACCCAGAAATTGTTGATCGGCTGGCCCATTGCATGGGCCATCGAATGCAGATAGAGAGTCGAGACCCCAGATCAACTTTGACGCGTGCCTGGCCCCGGAGCATGACTCTCCAGAAATATGTCCATAAACGATTTCTATACCCTGCATTTGTGGCGCGTCATTGTTGCAACATCAGCGCAAACAAGCAAGAACACACTTCAAAAACCCAACAATGTCGAGTGCTAATAAAACCCACTGAGAGGCCTGACTGACTGACAATCTCAACAACGGTCGTGAGTTATTTGAGGCGGCTAATCCCGTGGGTGCACGGGGAAAAATAATATTTATCCAGTTCTTTAAAGCTAAGACATTTAAAATGCCTATTTGTATCTATAAATCGTTCCTCCAATAAAAACAAATTAAAAATGGTTTTTTAGAACCTGAATAAAAATGGATTCTTCCTAACTACTCAAATATCTTGTGTTTCACAACCTAGATGGGTATTTTTTTTATCACTAATAGAATTTTTCCAATTTGCTGATTGATTTCGGAACTGAAATCTATAAAAATTATATCAATATAAAAATATCTATTAAAAATTAAGAATTTGTATTATATTGTAAACTCCATTTATGTATAATAGCTGTTATATTAAATACATAAATATATACGAATTATTAGAGTGTTCTATACCTCATAGATTATTTTCCCAGTGTAAACTCCAGCGTTAGACAGTCGGGAGTATCCGTGTATATCTGCTGTGTGTGGGGAGCTGAACAAACAAGCTATTTAACACCGCCAGAAATGCTGAGCCAGCGGCAATGACTGGCCAAATACTGGATGCAGGGGATACTGGAATACTGGATGGCGCGTTACTGGGGATACTCGGGGGATACTGGTCACAAAAGTGTCGAAGATCGAAATCAGCAGCCCGAGAGTCGCGGAATTGATCGCGTCGATTAATTTGTCTTGCTCCCCTCGCTCTTTTCCCCATCTTCATCTTCATCCAGCATGAGTGTGCAACATGTTGCATCCCAAATGGAATGCACTTAATCACGATTAGTTGTAATCGATAAGCAAGCCGGGCTAATAACGCACTCTCCACGGAGCTTAGAAGATTTTCCTATATCTACACAGATCTACATAGATGGTGGCTATAGTTCGGGTGGTCTCCCGACCCCATTTGCATATGAAAAAGTTTGGCTGACCAATGGTTTCAACATAATATTGTTCGGCTTTGTCCGGGCCTGCTGCTTGGCCATGATAAATGGCACAATTTATTTAAATCAAGCGACCCGGGGAGACCTCCAAAACAAACACCGAATTCGGTTAATAATTTGTTCATTTATCAACATTTGTTAGCGGCGATTATGAATGACGTGTGTGGCTCTCAGAGACCCAGGTAGCCAAAAAGTCTCGTCGAATCGAATCGAATCGGAATGGATCGCATCGGATCGTCCCCAAAACGAATTTCGGTTCATTCATAAAACCTCGTTTCTTTTGTACAATTTTCGTCACAGCGGGTTATCATGTTCTGGTAATAAGGAGTACGGGTTTGTCGTCAATTATTTTATAAGGATTTAAGTTGTTTTTAAAACGAGAAAATATTTAATTTATACCTTGATCCTTTAGTAATTATACGTACTGGCACACACACCCCATTCTTGCACCAACAAATTTAAAAACTCACATCAAAGAGCAGCCCTGCAAATGTTGACCAACCCAGTTGACATTTTTCATAATTCCATATCACCTTCCCCCACAATCAAACCCAACCAACACGCTCATAAAGCCACGCCAAAGGTTTTTGGGATAGAAAAGAGTTTGGGGGCAGGGACAGAAGTACAAACCCATTCGAAAACTATTTTTATAACGTACTAATAACTGCAAAACTTTCACTGCTCGTTTTTTGCCACCCAGTTTTTATTTCGTGTTCGAGTGTTGTTGTGCTTTTTTTGTTATTAATTAAATTACACGCCAGGCATTTTACAACATTTACAGCAAATTACAAATGCCAGGCATGAGCACGCAGACAAAGGAGAGAAGGGCGAAGGGAGGGAGTTGTAAAAAATATTATATCACCAGACTGAAAATGTTATAGGAGAAGGTCGAAGGTCCAGGAATGCGACTATTGGGTACCCAGTAATTGGGATACAAGCTTTTAGAATATAAGCTAAATACATTGAAATATTTTCATACTTACGATAATCATTGCATACTTTTAGGGACTAAATAATGTGGTTTCAAAGGGCACATTTATTTTAAAGGAACCTTTTCCGACTGATAGCTTTCTTAAACCTAAGTACATTTAAATTAAAAAGAAACAAAGGGCTTATATTTTTCAATATCAAATAATTCTTATAGATGTTCATTCAGTTTTAGGTACAGAGAGTTATTATGAAGAATTCCTATGAAGTATCTTCTGGAAGTGATCCTAACTTCCCTTGAACATATATACCCTCGTAGATCCCACAGCATTCGTCATAAAGCTCAGAACTGTGGAAACTGGCCATGGTCTTGGGTCTTGGACTTGGTTCTCGTTTTGGTTTCGTTTTCCGTTTCGGTTTCGGTGGCGGTGTCTGAAATATACGAGAGTCCCCGGTTGGCAGTTACCGGTTACCGGTTGTGGGTCCAAGGCATATCCATGAGTGTTAACACTCATAACAACTGCTAAAGCCCATTTTCGCATGTTGGCAGCTTATAAAAATGCAGCACTCGGCCGCCTGGCCATATAGTACATATAGCCACATATAGCACCCACTCCCGATCCCTATCCCAATCCCTATCCCTATGCCCCTTCCCCAGTCGTAGGTGTGTGCAAGTTTCCAAAAGAGATTTTGTGTGAGCGATAAACACGCGCCCAGGCACAAAAGTGTAAATTAAGCCGCAGACGCTGAGGAAACCTGGCAGTCGGTCGTGTGTGGGCCGTCCAGTTTGCGGCCTGGGAAAAGGGAAAGCGGCGGGGAAAAGCGGGCGGAAAATGAAAAATTATGAGTTATGCCAGGCAAGGACATGGCCTGCTCAAGCTTCATTTGCTAAGCCATGGAGCCGCAGTCGCCGTCATAGTCATTTCCACAGTCGCAGTCAGGAAGTGCACACGGAAAAATTACATTTATCTTTATACTGTAACCATTTTTCCTAATTAGAATAAATTGCTGTGAAATCCTAAAAAAAATATATTAAAAAGTAGATTTTGAAATATACAAGAATTTTTAAAAATTATATGTCCCTTGTAAACTAATTTAGAAGCTTTAAAAAGTTGATATAAACCAAAATTATTCTTGTATGTTTTTAAATATTTTAAAATCCTTAGATCTTTAATAAGCAAATTAGTAACTTTTTTGAAAAAAAAGGCTTTCTGAATTCTTTAAACAGGTAATAAGGAAAAACTTTTTTCCGTGTGTATTAGTAGATTTATAGGTCTCTATTGACGTCAAATCTTAATGGATTTACAAAGGTGCCTAAAAGGATGCTATGATATATATATTTTTTAAAATTGTTTAAATAGCGTTCAATAAATCCTTATAACTTTCAATTCTCTAATACTTTCTTCTGGTAAGTGGTAAGTACCACCCCCCGTTTTTCCCGGTGCATCCTTGGATAGAGCACTCGACTATGCATATCCTGGCCCGGTCCGACCGTCTCGGCCTGGCTCCCCGGCAATTGTTGAGCTGGCCCAGTTAGCGTGTCGCTCATTAGCATGAACATTTGCAGGGGAATTTATGGTGTCCATGGCACATGCGAAATGTGGGTTAGCAATGTGCAGTGCGCGGCATTCTGCTATTCCGGCTTTCTGGCTTTCTGGCATTCTGGCGTGGCAATTTTATGCTCATCAGCGAGGCATTTCTCAGCATTCAAAGTGCCCCGGATGACGGACTCATAAATTAATTAATTTTTGGTGTGGCTTTCAGCGCGTTATCACCGCCCCGAGATCGCCACTCGCAATTGTATGAGCCGCAATATTATGTTGCCCCAGGCAGCTGCGATCAATAAAACGAATGGTTAGGACTCATTATCAGGAGGACCGTGCGGATCCCGAGGGGATAAAGGATAATCGGGCGATTCGAAACGAGTTCAGCTGGCAACATGTTGCAGTCACTTGATTCTTATGCAAACAAGGCCCGGAGGTTGTCCGACATCGTGTTAAAAAACTTGTTCGCAATTAAACGATGTCCTGCCGGCAGGCTGACCGAATGTCTGCCAAGGGAAGCCGATGCCCTTCCCGGTGCCACGGATCCTCAAGTGGGGCACTGAGAGAAACTACAAGGCTCTAATGAAGAAAGTAAAATATTTACAAACACTTCAAGTGATTATTCGATATTCATGGATAACTTGATTAGGTACTTCGTTTTTTAAATGTTCATTTATTATAAAATATGACTCTATTATGATACATAAAGTTATATGATAGATTACTTAATTCAAAATGAGTAGTAACTACATGTTTTAGGATTAAAAACGTTTAATATAGTTTCAAAAATAAATGTAAAACCCGATTTTATATTTTAACATAACATAAGAAAATCCTCATAATTTTATAGAACAATGTATTATATTTTTATACAATAAAATTTTTATGAATAATAAGTACAATTTTTCCTAAGTACAGCACAATTTTTGATGATAAGAAGCATTTTATAGAGATATGTATAATATATTTATAGAAAAAAAAACATTTTTTGTGACTAATAAATTTAATTTTTCCCAAGCCCAACACTTTTTTTCAAGTTTATATATTTTTTGAAAATTTTTTCCCAGTGTACGTGCCACGCATGCGCAACCGACTTCTTTCACCTGGCATCGCCGTCTTCTTTCGCGTTACAATCGTATTTCTGGGGCTGCTGAACCACCAGACAAAGGTTGCACGTAAATGACCCAAGTTATCATAAATATGTCAAAAGTTGAAAATTAAATGTACAACATGCTGAGTCCGGATCCTCGCGCTCCATTCGAGCTTCCAATCCCCCGCCCGCAGTCTTTATTGATATTTTTGCACTTGTTTACATTTTTTGATTTAGAGCCATTCGCTGATGCTCGTAAGAAGGACCACACGTGGCGCCATCTTGTTTATGATAAGTGAAATCCTGTTTGCAGACCGAGATTCCGATTGGTGTGGGGCTGCGATTGGGACTGGGATGATTGAATGCGTGTTGTGGTTTATGAGTCACAAGGCAGTAAAAATCCTAAATAAGAAGGAACTCCAAGAAGAAAGGTGGGGGCTAAAGAACTAATCCATAAAATCGAAGTCTTTATACGCAGAAAAAGAAAAAGATCCTAGGAAAGAGAAAGAATTGGTATTGATAATTTTCCAGCATTTTTTGAAAATATAAATAAAAATAAATTTAGCAAGTTTAACAATAGATCATAAAAGATCTACAATAACTTTGGCTAAATATTTGCGATTTTCTGTTATTAATTGGAGTTTTTAACCTACTTTTATTCTTTGTTACAATATATTACATCTCGAATATACACATATCGACTTCCCTTCTCCAAAACCTCAGCACGCACTCCTCTCCCAAGCCCTTTTCAATCCTTGCATGTTCGTAGGGAATGTGCTACTTGAGGTCCGTGCAGAAAATAACTTTGCGATAATATTAAATTGCTGTCAACAAGAAAATATGTTGGATGAATTTTCCAGCTACTACAGGCTGCAATTGATTTTCTGTCAGCGCGGCCCAATGAAAATGGGAGCGAAATGGGGGGCAAAACACTTTTCCAAGTGTTGATTTGTGTTATATGGTAGTTTCTTATCAACAATGCAGTCTATTAGGCATTACCCTGGATTGACTGACATGCAATTCGCCGCGCAGGGTGGCAAGCAAATAAACATCAAAGGTGGAAAAATAATACCAGGCCCTTTGTGTCGTAAAAAACATGAGGAAAACATGAACGAATTCTGGGTGCCAGGGCGCCAAACTATTAACGGAATAGGAGTAAATTTGTTAATGCCTTTGTCTAAGCCATGTGCGTTGGCAGGTGGGAATGGGAAAGGGCACTGAATTGTTTGTCCTGCAGGACCAGCTGAACCCCAAAAGGGGTTAAATGTGTTTATTTGTTTATGGCCCCCCCGCCAGCGAAAGGGTTAGGTCTATATATAGCCCGATATTCAGCGGACCCGGCTGATGGGCCACTGCGTTTGACTAATGTCTCATTTGCATGCCAAAAGCAGTTAACAAGTTTTGCCTCGCCGCCAGTTCGCAGTAAGAAAGAAATTATGGCTTGTCTTTCTTTTAAAAACAACTTAGTGGATAATACACCCCTAGTGTTAAGCCAGGCAGTCAGGGGCATCCATAAATGCAGAGTATACCATATACATACTCCGTATATACCTTATAAAGGGTGCGGAAGGAGGGGATCCGGGGCAGCAACGACACATTCATTTCCTTCTTGGCGCGCCTCAAGTGTTGTCACCTGTCATAATAAGTGCGGAAGCAGCAAACGGCAAACAAAGAGACAGCCAGAAGGAAAAAGTGCACAAAATGTAATAAGAAATTAATGTAGAGGGCTCCACGAAAAATGATATACCCTAAAAAGTTAGGGATCCAATGGTATACGATTAAAATCTTAAAGAAAAATAATTAACATATTTTTAGTGAACAAATTACATTTTAAACTTGTTAAGAACATTTTTAAGAGGAATAATTTGAATCTTTAATAAGAACCTAATATAAAAATGTTCTTAACCAATCAACTGCAATTAACATAGATTTTTAAATGCAGCAATCATTAATCATTATAAATCATCTTTCAGCACACGATCAATCAAATCCGGACTAAGAAATTTCACTCAAGCGCAAAATGAACTATGGCATTTCAAGGTTTGTAAGAACTCGAATAATTACACATATTTACAACCACTAAGTTATTGAAAGGTTTATCGCATTAGATTAAACTTAGATTAGAATTTGCATAAAACAAACTGACAACCAATAATGCACGTAATCTTTATTTCAGGATTTTTTATAAAGTGATTAAATCGAATGGATTTTGGATTAAATTTTTCCTAACCTTTAATACCCTGTTTATATAATGATCATTAATTAATTAATTAATTAATTTTTTAATAATGTTAGTTACAATGTTTCTCCTCATATTCCCTTTCTGAAGTGTATTAAAAATAGGTGTTGCTGCATATGCTTTCGATTTATAAGGTGACCAGCCGACATTGACGTTGCTGCCGCCTTGGTGCAACTTCTTCTGTTTTTCTGCTGCTGCCTCAAGTTTCCAATTCATTTTCATAATTGCAGCAAATGTAAATTGCAATATTTTTTCCCATTTTTCTCCTCGGCCTTTTCTTCGGCTCCATATGCGTGCTGCACTTGAATTTGTTGGACTGTCGCACTTGAGTCGAAGTCGAACTGAAGGCTGAACCTGTTCCACGCGCAAGAGATGGATTGTTGTGTTTTTTAGTTGTTTTTTATTTTCTTGGGGCAGCGGCCGCGCTGAAACGGAACCGCAAATTATTTTAATTTGCGTTAAATAATGCAACGAGGTGAGAAAAAATTAAGAGCATTTCTCAGAGTCAAAGTCGAAGAGCGAGGGAGATGATAGAGGTATCGTAAACTAAGTTTACACGCCTGATAGTCGTGAGATCAAATATTAAGATAATACCCAAGATATTGCACATTATAATTTTATAAAAGATGAATTAGAAAATACATAATACCATTTTTTTTTCCTTGGACATTTTGGAAACATTTTTGTACATATTTTGGTCCTAACAATGAATAACCAACATTTAATATTGTTTACTTAGAATTTTCTTCATTTTTATTACTCAGGAATTCTGCGTATAAATGTAAAAATATTAAAAACTTTGGTCCGGCTCATTAGTAGCCCCTCTTTGTGTTGCAGTTGCAGTGTATCCTGCCACAAAGTTAAAAGCGCCGACCTGTAATTTGCCTGCAATAAGGCGGCGGCGCAATAAACTCAATTTGTGCTGCTCGATAAAAGCCGAGTGCCATGTCAGGAGATGCAAATACAGGCAAGGTAAAAATTCTAGGAACCCTTTATTTTTACAAAACATAGTTTGTTCTTTTTCTTTAAAATGTAAACCAATTTTAAGTAATTATTCAAACTCTTAATCCACAATTTTAAAATATAATCTACTAAAAAAATATCTTTTCATTTGGTAAATTCTAAATATAAGCTGAAAACACTTTTTTTAATTTAATAAATTAATACTACCATTTTGAGCCCACCTGTAGATTATTATACGTACATCTGCATGCGAAGTGAGTGCGGTTGTAACGTGTTCATTTCGCTTTGGGGTGCTAAAAGCCGAACAATTCAAGCAAACTCCCAGCAAAAAGTCGGACTGGAAGTCAGTTTAGCTTTTGACAAGTTGGAGCCACTCGGAGGCCAAGGCGTTGCCAAAGTCCGGGCATTGTTATCTGCATATATATCTACCGATATAGCCCCATGATCGGTAGCCCAACTTGGCGCACAATTTATGCACGTTTCTTCGATCATAACTCTTAATTAACCGATTGGAAACCTTGTCAACTGTGTTGATTGACAAGTCTTTTAAGATTTCGGCAATCAACAAACAAAATCTACACCACAAATATTTTGTGCGTAGGCCAAACACAAGTGAAAGGTGTGTCCCACAAAAAAAAAAAAACGAAATCATAAATACAGCTAGAAGAATCGGAGCTGAAACTAGAAAGGGAAACTGATAGTGTGGGCTTGCTCTTTAGAGGAAATACAAGTATATATTTACTTAAATATATACCCATGAAATTCTATTATTAGGATAAATAATATTTTAAAAAATGTTCAGATCAGGTCACATTTTTCTTTTAAGCGAAGGTATTTATTTTCGTCTATTGTTTTAAGTAAAGCTGTCTTAAAGTTACATTTAAAATATATTTATCAGATCTATCAGATTTCTTTATTGTTATACTAATTTTTCTCCACGATTTACAAGTGGCATTTATTTCCACCAACTCCAAGACTATCCCCTTCGAATCCGAAGATTTTATGGCTATAAAAACCTGATACTTTTGGCCCGGGGCTAACCCACACGCAGACACAATGGCTACAGTGGGTCCAAAAAGCAGCCACCCACATGGGCAGCTGACAAACGCTGATCGATTGGCCGCCGAAAAAATCATAAATCTATGCGAGTCATAAACTTGAGGCAATTATTTTATGATAACTACAGAAAAGTGGCTTACTCATAAAAACTATATGTGTAGGTATATAAAATGAAGCAGGGAATTCCATTTGAAAGGACGACAAGTTGTTTCGGTCGAATCAATTGTTGCGCATTGAATCGCGGTCATCAATCATAATTTTCAACGATCAACAGTTTTGTAGGCAAACGTTTTCATGTAAAGTCTTAAATATTTTCACACCTTATAAACAATGTGCAGTCACGATCCGGTGGGAGGCTAATGCGGCTATTGTCTGCCACAATTCAGAGCCAGCGACAGTTGAACATGATTCGAGTTGGTTTTTTTATTATTATTCTCCTACTTTTCTAGCGAATTATGACGTGCCCGGACCGAATGATCGATGAATGCCTCGATTATGATATTCCGTATAGAAATTGAGGGGGAAATCACGTCATAGATGAGTCAGATGAGGCTCCTTTCGGCCCTAGAAAGTCGAGACGCTTCTTGAAAGTGGCCTTTCACTCTGGACCCTTCGGATTATTGGCTGACTTGCCGACTGACTGACAGCTTCATTAATACCCCTCAAAAGGTTAGTTATGCATGGCGATAGAAATAGAAGTCGAAGGTGACAAGTGTGTTTGCTTATGGTTTTTGACAGCCAACAACTGGTATAGTCAATAGTTTCTTACACTGCAATTGGGGTCTGTGATATGAACTGTCAAATATTACTATCTCATGTTTAGTACTTGATAATTTTTATCATAGCAATTAATTTACAAAACAATGATTTTGTTTTAACACAGTATAAATATTTTTAAATATTTTTTCAAATGTTGATTAACATTTTTTAATGGTTTTATAATTCTTTGTGTGTACTCCTAGACATTCCTGTTCAATTTTTTATTTAGACCACTTTCAAATGCCGCATACATTGTATGTAGGAATTTAAATTACACATTGTCGCATGCTAATTCTGGCCGACGATTAAACAGTCTTTGCACTGCATTTATAAGTATAAATAACAGAACTGACAGTAGCCACTGAACCACTTGCCACCCGGTGGTTCAACGACTTATAAGACCCCCAAAGATGCGACAGCCGGGAGACACCTACACCGCGCTCGAAACTTAAGCAGCTTCCCGACTTGTCAGCGCAAAATAAGACAAATGTTTCAACTGGCGACGCATCTGAGTTCCCAAAAAAGAGAGATTTGTGCAAGAAACAAAGGGGTACAAAGAGAAAGGCTCAAGGCAGAAAAAATTGTGCAATTTTATAAGTCCATATAAAATAATACTTTTTTCTATACTCTTTAGATTCTAAAGTTTGGAAACTCAGACTTTAAAAGCGAAATGAATAGATATATTCATTACGTCTTTTTAACAAAATACAATAATTGATATTTTTAATACATTTTAAAAGGTACTGTTTTGGGGTTTCAAAATCTTAAGGACATTATACCAATTTTAATATTAACTTCAAGTTCTTTTTTATATTTATTAAAGGTACAGATCTAGAGGTCTATTATTTTCTTATATATTTTTACCCTTTGTATTTGACATGATCCTAATATTTTTCTGAATGCCTGTCTCTACGTACCCCAGGATTTTACAAAAACGATTCAAAAACACCGTATTTAATATTTTCGTAGCCCTGGTAAAGCACCCAAAAACCCTGAAGAGATATAATGATGCCGCTTACCGCTTTGGGCCGATTCTGTGTGGTCCAATTAAATACTTTTACGGGTCTGGCCAAGTCTTGCAAATCTTCTGTCTGCCACCAAAAGTGCGAATGATGCGTGAATTTCGCAAAGTCGAGCCGGGCAAAATAAACAAAACTCAAAGAGTCACAGGAGCGTTGACTGATGAGGCCGGGCTGCAGGGCATTAATTGGAGTTGGGCCTTCGACTGGGGCATATTTTATCGCTATTGAAGCGTTTGGCGTTAATTAAGACAAAATCAGGCGGAATTTTTGTCACATTGCTGCGGTTTTCCCCCGTTCACCCAGTGGCCGTGATTAATTGTGCCTTGTGCTGCCTGCCAACTGCACACCAGTCCTCTGTATAAATAAGTATATACGGGATACATTGCTTTTCCCTGCTTTCTTTTTAGTATATCTTACTTGCTTCTTTTTTTGCATTTTCCTCCTCTGGTTGTACTCGCATTTGCGGGCAAGAAAATGAAAAATTAGTCGAGAAAATCTGGCGAAATAAAATGTCGTCGGCGACATTTTGCAAAGAGATTTTGCCGCCTCTCTGTGTGCGGGTGAGTCGACTTTGTACTATATAGACTATATATGCTGCCATATATTTGGCTCAGCTTCTAATCGTCGCGCATTAGTCAGTGCGTTTTGTGGGTTCCTCTGGCTGCGGATAGAGATTTCAAATGGATGGACTTATGGGACTTACCAAATACGCTGTTAGGAAAATGGAAAAAAAAAAAAATTAGTTGGAAACAAAATAAAGTTAAATATTTTCGATGGGATAAATAAACATATAATTAGTGGCCGATAGTTAAAAAAGTATAAGATTGTAATTTCTTTAACCATTTTGTATACTTTTTTGTAAAAAATACAAAGTAAGTTTAAAAAAAAATTGTTTTTTTTTCTTTTGTAAATTGTTGTTTACTATACCTACATGTATCTATAGGATCTTAAAAAAATAGAACTGGCTTAAATTTAATATTTTGGTTATTTACTTACACTTACACTTACACTAAAATATTTTTCTGTGAATGAAAGGGCACTCAAAATTCATCCTAGCCCACCTTATACCCCCATAGTTGCATTCCGCACTGTAATCTATTTTCCTTTTTTATTTACCCCCACATTGCAGCCATATAAAAAGATCAAAGGAGGTGGCACTTTGCTGTTGCTGCTTTGGTTGACACATCAACGCTTCTCTATCGACACCAAGTGGGATACTACAAAGGCATTACGACCAGCAGTTGGCAACGCTCGGCCACTAATTAATGTGCTTTTAATTATGAGTAGTAAAAAATGCGAAATGGCAACCGCAAAAGCTTAGTGGAGGTACGAAGAGCAGACGCTCGACAACCGCAAAGTGAGTGATGGCCAGAGGACGGGGACCCAAAAAGGGTTCGACTCCTGCTCCTCTGCGACACGTCAATTGTAATAACAATAACTGCTCAAGACAGCCCAAAAGTAACACATCCGCAGGAGGACACACGGGGCACTCACTGGACAGGACCCGAGAAATGGGGACAGGAGACAAGCTGGCTTGTTAGCACACGACACGCTGTGGTCACCAAATGAGCAGCTGACCATAAGGGAGAAACACTAAAAAAATCGCATTATACAATATCATTGAAGTATTCTAAGTAGGTATGTATATAAAAACTTCTTCTTACTAATATATGATCGTTTCAATACTTATTTCATTTCAAAACATATTCTTAAGAGCTAGTAAACCAATATTAACTCATTATATCTAATTTTTCAAGAAAAGGTTTATATAGATGTTAAACAAATCTCTTACTACTTTAACCATATTTAAATCATCTTAATATTTTTATAAAAAGAGATTTTAACATCTTAAAAGTCTCTATTTTATCTCATTAGAGGACATGAACTACACTACATATATTTGTAATTTTTACCATATTCAGGCAGGAAAGTATGCCAACGTAATAATAACATAAAATCGTAATTAGATTTGTTCTGGGAAACACCTTTAAATTAAAGAATATAGGATACAATTTATGACGTATTTTTAATCTATTTGTAAAATAAATATTGTATTATTGATCCTGCTAACTAATTTTTTTCAGTGTCTGGTTACATAGAAGACCTGTCCGCTCCGGCCTCTCGGTTGCCAGTAATTGTCGTGTCAATTTTGGTAAAACTGTTTCATCCCGACTTGGACTTGGACTTGTGCTCGTACACAGTGTCAAATTTTAAACATTGATTATCTGGAGACATATTCAGCAATTAGCAAATCAACTCGGATGTGGCTTTGGCTTTGGCTTGGGCCTGGGCGTCTTCTTGGCCGGTATTTCTCTGGCCAAATTGTGTCCGTAAATGACAATTACCAAATGTGTCAAAAGCATTTGCCCTGACCGAGTGTTTGTTAAGTTTTAATATGACAGCAGATGGACACGGCAAATATTTTATCAGCCGGGCAGGCGCAGTCTCGTAGCAATTTGCATACATCAGTAGGGCCACTCGAGAGGCTGTCTCCGTGATATAAGAAAAATGTATGGGAAGAACACCCCTCTATAAGGACAAGGACTCTCCCTACGGACACGTTTAACGGTTCAATTTTACACATCATTTAATCGCAAACAAGTTAGCTCGCCTCCTGTTTTGTCACTCAATTTAAATTTATACAAATCTACTACGGCCAGTGGATTGATTTATGGCCTACTCCGTGAACCTTTCACTTGACAAGATTTCGGCTCACTGATTCCGCACCGGGAAATTACAAAGTGTTAACACGAAAAGAGCATCGAGACAATGCCAACATATGTCTGCATAAATTGTACGTATTGTTTAAAATTTGAATGACATTCTATTCGCCATTAGGGTGAAACGTTCTCAGCATATGCTGTTTATTCGAGTAACTATGGTTTTGCTTTTGGGTGATAGGAAATTTAAAAAAAAATTTATATATATTTTAAACTTTTAAAATTATTGGAACCGAAAAGAATCTATATTTGATATATTTATTTAATGGTACTAGTGTGAATTTATTTCCTAAACGTCAGAAAGGGAACGCTTACTACTCTAGATTAAGGAAAACTTTGCCTAATCGCGAACAAAATAAATAAATATCGATGTCAACCTAACAATAATATCATTTCCAGTTCCTGAAATATTTATTAAGAATGTATTACTTCAAGTTTGGTTAAACTCCAATTGATTATCTCGGAAACCTCTTTTTGCCTTCGCTTAGCAACCATTTCCTTTCATTTTCTTTGGGAATAAAATACATATAGCCCCTTGGTATCCCATGGATTGCATGTCCCAACCTAGTAAAAACCTTAAAAGAACATCCCAAAGTGATGAAAGCAGCCGCCAGTTCGCACACACTCAGAAGACCATTGTCTGGCCCAGAATTTGCGGCTATAAGGCATATTCGTAGCTACCCATACTCGTATGGCATACAATTTTGCAGCTAGACGGTTTCGGGATTGCATTGACAACTGAAGCGTTATCGAGGTGCATGCAATTTACTCATCATCACAGATGGAGAGGTGATAGCGGACATGTTACTCTTTTAATTGATGCGAAGATGGGTCGGAATGAGTTATGACTGCGACTAATATGGGCCGCTGCTTGTGCGGCAATTATTACCAACGGCAAATGGCAGGATGGCCCGGTCGAGTCGAGTGGAGTGCCTATGTGCCTATGTTGAAAGATAATAATGCTTAATAATGAGCTGTAAAGTTTATTAATTGCCACACGGCGTTAGGGGCAGCACTCCTCCTTTGCCGCCGCATCGCCACGGCTAATGAGCCATTTGCGTGTCGTCGATTTATTGCATTATTTGCACACACAAAAGACACATTAAAACTAAATTATTAAAATTTTCGCAAAACCGACGGGACATATGTCATAAGATGTCCGAGTTCATTGGACCCGCAAAAGGTTGGCTATCTGCGAACTTATTTACATTGCATTTCGAACCAGTTACATAGAAGAAAGTATCTTAAAAAATTCCATTTTTGACTGTCAAAGATAAAATATGATCTGAAAACCACATGACACATTTTGTTATAAACCCAATCACGTTTGTTAAAATGTGTCACGATTTTGCTAGGACAGCCAACCGAATGTTTAAACTTTAGCCAACTTTAAATCATTCCCCACTTGATTCGTGACCCGTTTTCCGTTCTGTAGGTTTTGCCCTACTGAAACTGATTTCAAACTTGACTGATTTTAACGGCCAAAGTAGCAACAAAGTCAAGAGTCATTGAAGCATGTATGGCGATTTGCCCCGTTAATGAGACCATAGATAACAACGAAAATCAACTGTCAACTTGGGCCAAAACAGAAAGGAAGCTCCGCTGATTAAGTCAACCCCGTTGTTGGAAAAGTTCACCGCCCCTTATTTGTTGGCCGAGGAACCCTCCTCACAGGCAACTCAACTACCCGAAGAGAACCCAATACCGAATCAAGGGGGTAAAATGTGCGAAATATCACAACTTGGCACTCGTGGCAGCAACAACAAAGCGAAAGTTACGCTGGATTAACAACCCTTGCTGGGTCTTGGTCCCTCCATATCCACAGATATATAAATATAGCCTAGCCACTCGTATAGCCCTCCCATTTTAAACCCAACCCCTTTCAGACGACTGCAATGAGAGCAATTTATAAAATTGTTACGCTAAATAAATTAAAATTTCACTTTTAAAGTATTGGGCGTGAAATTGGGATTAGCCTGGCAGGGGGATAAAGAAGGGACTTATAAGGAGGGTAAACTGTGGGTTTATTTTATAAAAGCAAAAGGCCCTCCACTCGCTGAGTATATTTAATAAAATTATAGAGAGTAAAAGTCAATGAAAAGAGTTGTAGTTTAAATCGTTCTGTAGTTACATTTACTCTAAATATATTATAATTGATTGACAATAAATGTTTATGTGCTTTCATTACGTTTGTTGTTAAAAATAAAAGTTATTATTTTATACAACCAGCTACAAAAGTGTAATTCCCAGATCTTAGTTTGTTCCTTAATACCCTTTTATATAAACAAAAGATAACTATATAATAAACGGAACCCCTCAATAAATCCCAAGTTAATTTATCCTAATGCCAAAGTCAATTTGAGATATCTCAACAATCATTAAGCATTTGTCTGCTGTAGGTATACGAAGAACACAAATACCTTGCCTACCCGATCTGAGAAATGTATCTTATCTTGTTCGACCCAAAATTCTAATCAAACATTTTCTCACCTTGCTCGTGTTGCTGTGGGGATCGCTGGTGTTGCTGGTGTGCTTGCTACCCTTTACCTTTTCCGTTGTGGGCGTGTTCGCTGTTGAACGTTCTGTCGGCATAAAAGAGGCGGCATCCACAGCGGCAACATTTCTGTGTTCTTCACTCTTTTTTTGGATTTTTTCTTTCGGCTGCAGCCGCATTTAACTCGATGTTGCGCCGCCGTCTGACATGTGAGAATTTGCCGTAAATCAACCTGTTGCTGTTGCCGCGGTGATGTTGCTGCTGCCGCCGTGATGTTGCTGCTGCCGCACACGTTTTTCGGCGGCCACTTGGCTTATGAAGTGCCACAGAGAAACAGGTTAATCGATTTTAAATCGGTTTCGATGTTGTTTTGATCGCCATAGCCTGTTCTAGTTTTATACTAGTTTTTTTCCCTGGCCCCTCGTTCTTTTGTTTCTTTTTTGACGTTTGAACTTGATTACCGGTGATTTTAATAATGATGTGCCTGCTGCCGCTGCTGCAAGCGTACGAAATGATAGTTAAAGACAGTTCATTAA